ACTGGCTGGAAATTGTGACATTTTGCAAAACATCTCAACAGACCCCCTACAACTGTTCTGTGGACACTGTTGAAAACCTCAGTCAATGAGATCAGTTATCAGCGGTTCATGTTTTTCTTGTTACATTTTATTCGTAAATGAAGGCAATTGTAGCCACATTTCATATAGGCTTCTAAAGCCGAACACATTTGTTTGGTCGACTAAACTGCGAAACGTGTCCTATTCTGATGTAGCTGCGCATTGTTGACATTTTCAGGCGACCACAGGAATAATTCATCAAAGCCATTTTGCTGTTTATAAAGAATAAGCTTCGTCGCCACGCTAAATCATACCAATGTTTGTATAAAGTACATCCATCCACTCATTGCTTATGGGGAATTTTGATTCTCACTGACATTCACATTCACGCTTTTCTGTTGCCATTTATACTGTATTGTGCACGCTGATTGCTTTTAGCAATCTTTCTTTCCATTTGTTCATTTATTTATATAACATGTCAGGTACTCTTTTATGAAGACATATGATAGGAAGAACAAAACGGCCATGTGACATGGGCGTGGCCAGCTTGAAGGCCCCTGCCATCCAGAAGGGCCTGCCATCAGGGCTGGCCCAACCTTTTTTGGGGCCCTAAGCAAAATTTTGAATTGGGGGCCCTTGCCCTAACACACAACACAAGCAGATCAGATGGAGTGGCCCCTGGTGGCTGGTGGACCCTAAGCAGCTGTTTAGTTCTCTTTAGCTTTGGGTCGACCCCGCCTGCGATCATCGTCAGTGCTGGGAGGGAAAGCCAGCGGACCCCGGGCTGCAGATACGCCGCCGGCCCAGCTGCCCAGCTGAGCTCGGCGTGACCTTTCCTGTGTGCCAGGCTGCCCTAGAGGTGTAAACGTGGCTGCAGATAAACCGAGGGATGAAACCCAACGCCGGCACAGAACTGCAGCCAAAAGGACAGCTGGACGTCCGTCTGAGGATGGCGTCCATAGAGCGCCCCCTGTTGGCCTGAGATTTTGAAAAGTTTTGCGAGGCGTGAAGGTCAGCAAGGCAGGAATCGCGGTGACTCTCGAGCTGCTTCAGTGAGACTGATCAACCAGTGCCGGTTAACCGGTGATCACCAGTGTCATCTAGAGCAGCATCTTCTGAGGGGGTCCCCCCCCCCCACCACCTCAGCAGGGAGCACGTGAAGCAGCGACCAGCATCTGGCAGACACAATTAAATCTGTACAGCATAACTGATCCCTCCGCCTCCCGTAAATTTTTTCATCATGGGGGGGAGAAACACCTGGTCACTGGGATCGACTAAACACTGATCCACCGGGTGGGTGAGCTCTATCTGGAAGTTCTCGATAAAATCCTGAAGGGAAATGGATGCTTCCAGACTGGAGGGGCTCCTTGGTGCCTCAGTGGGACTGAGGACAAAACTAGGCCTGTTTGGAGGGTGCAATGAGGAATGAGTCCATTCTGAGGCTGCTCTCTGCTTTCTGGGTTCAAAGCTTGCGGGGGCCAATAGTGTGAGGCTCTGCTCTATTGTATCCTGCCTTATCAGCGCTGTTCAGAATGAAATGACGATTAGGGCGGCGGCATCACCCAGCTCCTCTGTCTCAGATCTTGGGCAATGTATTCCCAGTGCTGGGTTCTGTCCAAACACTCATCTTCCCATGACCCATTTATCTTCCAGAACCAGGTTGCATTTGTAGACTCACGGTTTAATTAAAATTATGCAAATGAAATAATCCTATAATTCAGACCCTTCCGCCGCTGGGCCCAGAATCAGCTCGTTGCGTGTAATTACATATTTTCTCCAGCGTGTGAAATGGCGGGCAACCCGCCTTAACGTGGCCCGTGTGAGGGCAAAGACCAGAATAATGATGACGCGTAAATATATGGCCGCATCACCTGGACGTGACGCGCACCATTTCAAATTCAAGTTTCGAGTTTTAGTCAAGACGTGCACAAACATGCACTGTAAGCCTCTGCAGTGAAATGCTTTTTTCCACCTGCTTCCTGGATAGTACCTGAAAGGAAATACATACTACAAAAAAATGTATAAAAGACAAATAATAATTAATAAGGTGAAACTAACAATAAAAAATGTAAAATAAGACAAGATAAAATAAAAAGCAATGATATCAGTAACAGTAAAATGAAGATGTATATGGGATGGTATAAAGGATCCTGTTCCTTCCTTCCTGTTCCGTGATCATCAAATGGTTTTAAAATTACTTTGATATTCAATAAAGGCAAGGGTGCCATAAAGAGGGGAAATCCAGGACGATTCCGAAAAAACTCTAGCATACCTCGTAGTTGGACTGGTCTGGATTAGGGGCCTAATATGTTGTGCTTTCATAGAACCCCTGATCGGAAGTGGCACCCCTGGATAAAATGGTATATTCCTGCTTCCTGTTAAATGCAAGGAGTTACACACGAATTCAGAATTTCTTTGTATCAGCCCAGGATTGAACCTCTATACTTTCGCTGCCAGCTGTGTCCATTCCGGGGGGCGGGGCAGAATCCCGGGGGTGGGCGGGTGCAGAGGCGTCTGGGGGGGTTCATTATGGGGCAGAAGAACAGAGGGACAGATGAGAAAAATGTTGTTTGATATGGCACAGCTTCTGAAAATCCCTCCCGCTAATTAGTGTTGGGTTGGTGTGTGTGTGTGTGTGTGTGTGTGTGTGTGGGGGGGGGTGGGGGGGGTATCGTATCGAGACCATTTTAATGAGGCCTGTGAAGCGAAAGTGAGCCACAAGCTTCAGTCCAAACACACTGAGCTCTGAAGCTCAGGGAAGCTGCGCAGCTTTTTTATACAGCGTCGACCTGGCAACCAGATAATTTCCCCGTTTCTGTTCACACCGGCCCCGATAGTGGATTCCCTGGGAATAGAGCAGAGAAGGGATGTTTGGAAGTGTTTTGAAATAAAGGAGGCTTGGTGCCCCATAGCTGACCAGGCCGTTTATGCCCGCTACCCGTCACTGGTCAGTGTTTAATCCCAGTTAAAGTCAGCTTTCACCACGCTGCCGGGGACGTGAGACAGGACTGGGGAGTCCGCATTGCGTCTCAATTCTGCCATTTTCGTCCTCCTGCTCCCCCCCCCCAAATCATACTGCTACCCCTCATCCCTCTTCTGAGCCGGGGCGGAGCGGCGAGCGAGGCGAATCTCTGATGTGGAGGCGGAGCCAAGCTGCATGCATCTCTGTGGGGCTGAGTGGGGGCTAATCCCCTCATTACGGCAGCACGGCCCTGATGTGGTTCGCTAGCAGTCAGCGTCGCTCGGTCTGGCTACGCGCCGCTTAATTAGGCTGTTAACGCGTCTCTCTGAATCAGACACGGTCCTGAACGACGGACCGCTCTGAGTTTCCTCAACACCGGAGCGGGCGGCCCGGCGGCCCTCAGCTTCGCCGTCGACAGCCAGCTTCAGAAAGATGCTCCTTGTGGCACCACCTTGGCCACGCCGCTTCGCTGGCTGGCGTGCTTGAGGGTTCTGGCGGTCCAGACCCCCCCCCCAATACTGTAGCATGTGGGCCGCCTTCAGAAGCAGCTGTGTGAGATCAGACACAGAGGCCCGATGGGGTGTCGGGGGCGTTGGTCACGCACCGTTCAGCCGGAGCCCACAGTCGAACAGTGGCTCTTTCAACTGCCCTCCTCTAAGACAGGGTGAGCGACACCCCCACTGCACACTGGTGCCCCCCGGTCTTCTGGGGGTTTGCCCCAGACACACCTCGTACTTCCTATATACCCTGCAGGCAGCGGGGGGGCTGCGTTTGCGCATCTCGCCAGCGGAGACTCTGCGTGGGATCCGCCGTGGAGGTGAAGTCGGGCTCCGAGGCAGAACCCAAAAGCCCACGTGTGACAGGAGCAGCATCCGGGTCCAGAAAAGGCATAAAAACACATGGTGTAGAAGAACAGAAGGACGAGCCGCCATCCGACACCCAGAGAGTCGCATTTTGATGCCAATTTAATCCCGCAAATTATTTCCTGTCCTGGGGGGGGAATATTTATAGCGACCCCGGTGTAAATGCAGAGTGCATGAGTCACGTAGCCGAGAATCCCGTGAAGTGACAGAGTACGGTTGGGGGGCTATGTGACTGCCGCGTGGGGGGTAAGGTCCCCCCCCCCCCAAGGGTGCTGGATGGACGCTGGGCCTCACCATGGTTTGGATGATGCGTGCTGTCCCCCCTGCCTGGACTCTGCCCTGCAAGTCAGCTGCCCCCCCCCCCAGTGCATGCAATTTCCCCCATCTGTGCAGGACGTCCCTCCAGTTACTGGGCTTCTTTCTAAGAAATGAAACAGAGCTAAGAGATGTTCCACACAAACACTGCATGGTAAAAACACACTAAAGTCACTCTATTTTATGGGCCCTGGGCTACAGACCCCCTCCCGCCCTCCATGTCTTTAAACATTCAATTTAAATAAAATATATTTTACTGCGACAAATGTTTTTTCAAACATAAACATACTAGGATTACAGCAGATACCTCTTGCACATCTTAGATGTAAGAGAAATGCCAGTTTAAATGTCATATTAAACCAGTTTGACAAAGAAAGAGTGTCTGATGCCTACACAATTGAGATTATAATACCCTCACTGCTGTGTTTGAGTGATTTAAGTGGGCGGTATCTTCTGTGGGTGGGACTGGCCTGGTCTGAATCTAGGACAGAGTGACCCTTGTTGGCATCCAAGCAAAAGTCACCAGAATACAGTTTTGGCAAACACATAACCTGTTGTTTGTTACTGAGTGCTAGGTGTGTCAGAGCAATGCTAATGAGCGTCATTATACATCTCTAAATATATCCACATACAGTACATGCACAGGGCTGCTGTTTATTTTGTGTGGTTTTCCATCTGTAGCCTAAATGATCAAACACGGCATTGTGGGAATAGGATGTCATTAAGGACGACTCTAAAACACTGAAGGATCAACTTCTTCTGACATTTAATTTGGCTACCTTGAGGTTATAGAACCGGTTAGACAGAATACAGTCATTTTAAAAAAATAAATAAGGCTATTCACTGAAGTAAACTTTCTCCAGAGAATACAGTGCATAGATACAGGTCAATTAAGTTATCATGTTTTGCAGAAACAAGTTACCACTCTCAAAAACAACCTAAACTTCCCTGCTATAATTATAGGCCTATATGTGCAGAAAAAATCATTACAACTCATTATAACGCCTGTAGATAGCCTTGCGTAGTATAACTGATTACGAATCATACATCTATATTGCACTTAAAGGACGTAATATATAAAAAAATCAAAATATTCTTCAGTATCGTTTCAATACGATGCCCTCCAAAGACCTTCACCCGAGGTGTATTGTTAATCTTTCAAAGTAACAATAAGTGGTTCTGTCGTTCTTGTTAATTATTTTCCACCGTCTTCGTTGTTGTTTTATCGCAATGAAGCCGAAAATCAAGAATATCAGAGGCCATTATTTTGACTTTATACGTGGGGTCAGTAGGTGGGAAGGAGCGCGGTGAGTTTTTCTTCTTCTTGTTAAATCCCCGAGTTAAATCCCAATCCAGGTCCGGCGCGGTGTTTCGCTGCCGCGCCCCCTTTGTGATGCTCCGGGTCTGCCTGCGCTCCGAGCCGCCGCTGCCAGGGGGGTTCTCTCCTCCGTGCTTTCGCTCTCTTACGCCGCTTTAAATCATCGCTATCATTCCCCCCCCTACAATAAATGGACAACAGGAGGACGCGTTAATGCCCGCTCTCCAGCGCAAGGGAAGCAGCGCTTCGGATACCTGCTGGATTTTAGCTACAAAGTTTACAAATAGTTCGCAAGTTCCCCCCCCCGCTTTCTTTCTTTTTTTCCCCAGGGCTGCCGAATTGCCAGGTTAGCCTTTAAGTGGCCGAGCCGTCATGGCGAGCCCGGCGTCGGAGGGCTCCGCGATCGCGGGCTGCAGTCGGCGGCGGAGCGGCGCCCTTCGGAGCCTCGTCGCCGTCTGCGCTCTGACCTGCTGCGGCTTTCGCTGCACGGGCGCCGCGTTTTCCATCCCGGAAGAAGCGCAAGTTTTAGCGGCGCAGATGAAGAGGCTTTCGGCGCAGGAGCTGGGGGTGTTCGCCATGCAGGTGAGGGACATGCGGCGAAACGGGAGGCTGCTTTTCTTGGGCGACAGGGACGATCACTTTTCTTGATTTTTTTTTTTTTTTTTTTTTTTTAAGCAGTGGGTTATTTTATTTTAACTTTTGTTGGTCGATATCAAGATACCTGTCCGTACCTGTTTTCCTGGCTATTATAATGCAGTGGGGAAACATGCAGCAAAAGTACAAAAAGTGAAAGGGAAAGTCCATATGTAACTGTTCTTATTTTATTGATGTTTCCCACGAATAGCTATAATACTGTTCGAACCACAGGAGATCTGATATAGTGTGACGGATGGGTTTTTACTCTATTTTTTGTACTGGTGGTAATGTACCCAGCCTTTTACTGACTATAATAGGCGGCTATCAATACTGGTGATGCGATCGATGGTGTTTGATTTTTCTGGGATTCGATCCTGTAATCCCCTTTCTGCTTGTGAGATGTGGATATGTGTGTTAAACCTACCCTGTGGATTTGTCCCCTTTTGATTTTTAATTTTTTAAAATGTATTTGAGTTTTTGAATTTTTTTTCCTTAAATTTTACATTTTGACTTAAAGTGGTAAAAATTTTCAACCGCTGAATAAATCAAGGCCAATAAACGGTGCGGCTCAGAATAGACCTGTAATTTTAAAATAAAATAAAAATTTGTATACTTCAGCCTGGTCGTGTTTCACCGCAATGTTATCCCATTCATTGCTCTACACAGTGCGCTTATTGTGTGTGTGTGTGTGTGTGTGTTTGTTTGTGTGTGTGTGTGTGTGTGTGTGTGTGTGTGTGTGCGCGCGCGCGCGTTTTAATCCAGTACTTTTAAAAACGTGATTAACTGAACAGTACCTTTATTGTATAAGTGAGCGATTGTTTAGAAAATAAGGGAATTGTTCATTTGAACTGTAAACAGCCATAGAAGGACAAAGCAGGTAGTGTAAGATACATAAATTAGAGCAGGTATCCGAAAAGCAGTTTGCAGTGTAAACCTTCTGAGCCTGGGAAATATCTGTGTGTGTAAGGCCTCTGCAGAAAAAAAGCAGAAAGGACGATTAGAATATGAACAATATTATTTAATCGGAATCATCTGAATTTTTAGAACATTTAAAATATATTTATTTTTGCAGGACCAATAAACAAGACATGTTGCCTGTCAGTATAAGGCCTGCTTCTCCAAGTTTGGTTAGACTGCTATAATTTTAATACTTTTAATTTTTGGAAAGCAGGGCTGCTTTTAAGGTGTCAGTGGATCATCAGTGGCTTGGTTGCTATAAAATGACTGAGTCGGTAACAGAACCTTTGGCGATTCTGATGGTTCTTTGGGAGGCTTTTCCTCTCCCCTTCTGTCACTGGTTCTGAGGTTCTCCAGGCAAACGGCACTTTTTGTTATTTAGCGTTATGCGTTGTAGCTGTCTTCACACATCACGGAGATTGTGTATGCGGGGGGCGGAGGGGATGTGTGTGCAAATGGTGTTTCATCTGGAGTCTTTATAATGCACCAGCGCTCTCTCAGAGGCCTACCCTCCTCCGTAACCTCTCTTTGTCACACTGTTGTGTCAATTCCTCCTTTTCTCGGAGGCAGGGAATGTCGTCTTCAGTGACTTATTTTTGGTTTAATTTTATTTTTCTGTGAACCAATCTGATCCCTTTTTTTGGGAAAGCAAAATATTGAAAATTGGTCATTCTCAAAGCAGACATTTTTCGAAGCGAGTGCGGAAGTGTAGTCTGTTCTGGTCAGATTTTAGGTACATCTGAAGGATTCTCTTGTTATGGTTTTAATACTGGGATCTGTGGTGTGGTGTGATGTTGTTATTTCAAGTAGCTTTTTAGTGGCGCTGGCTCGTGGTGGTTCAGTTAACTGGGCAAACTGGGAGGTGTATGTGTTTTGAATTAAATCCTGGATAATCCTTTGGATGTGACAGCCACATCATGCAGCGTTACGGGTTTCTAAAAAAAAATTTCGGGTGGATGTATGACGAGTTTCTGAGACGAAAACATACAGACCTGCGTGATCAGTTTGGCTATGAACAATTAACAAGCAAGGTGTTTTTACAGGGTAATGTGTCTCTGTTTTGCTGCTCAATTCATGGTGCCAGGAGGTAACATTTACAGTGCTGGTTACTCATTTTGATATCTCATTTGACATTATAATTAACCAGAAAATGAAATTCTGTATGACGACGCTTAAAGCAGTGACTAAATCTCCTTCAGCTAATCTGGTAGCTTGAGGTAACCAGTGTCAAGAGTGGCATGGACTGATCCTGCCTCTAATCTGTACTTTACAGTAATTCGGTTATTTTAATCGAAAGTGGAGTCTGGTTCGTCATTAGAACCGAGCTGAGGTCTCATATTTCAGCAGTAATGGTGTCTGCTATGGGATCTGTGCAGTTTTAGGCAGATCTAACTGGTGAAGAGGACCAGCCATCTTCTCATCTTCACCGTGTGACTGGTTGGTTTTGCCCCAATCACAGCAGTCTTCAGAGGCTGTCTAAATCATTTTTTTTTTTTCTGCAGTATTATTTTGTTTTTATTAATCTTGGAAGAGCTTGACCTAAATTTTTGTAATCCCTCTCTCCCTTTCATGGTCTGGAAGTGAACCATTTGTTGGATTCGTTGCTAGGCTCGTGGCTGATGTTGCTGGTATTACATATTGTAATATTTACTCATGAATACAACTCAGATTAAATTATAGGAGTCATTTATATTTTCTAGTCTGGAACATTGCAAACTGATTGTGCTGTTTCTAGAATGGTTTATGGGATTGTCTTTACATAGTTGACTTAGTTGATGATGCATATTGTTCAATTCATTGACTATGGGAATCATCTGTTGGTTTATTTGGGTTGGTCTTTGATCTTGTGTAGGATCAGTGCTAATGGGGCTTTCCGTTGCCATGGCATTTGCTAAAATGGAGCCAAACGATTGGCCCACTTCTGAAGCTGTGGAGGGATGTGTGCTCCTTCATGGATGTTGATGGACATCCTCTCCTCCTGCTCGAAGGCCTTCCCTCCTGCTTTTTGCTGTCACTTGGCATTTCTCCTGCTGAATTTCTGCTCCCCTCAAGCAGCCCATCAACCTTCTTATGACCTTATCTTCCTGGGATTGTTCCAAGGTGTGATGACAGATGAAGTTGGGAGATCCTAGTGTTTGATCTGACTCGCTAGGTGCAGATGGCCTTTTTTAACCTTCAGCCGGACAACTGACAATTTCTGAAATTTGCTGCAGACTATGATTCTGTTTTCAGGCTGACGTTGGGACAGTGTCGTCTTGGCAAAAAGAGAGGTTCCAGTTTAATGCTGAAATGATGCATGTTTCAGTATATCTAAAGTATATCTGTTTGTGTGTGTTCAGAATTGAGTTTGAATTATATTGCCTTATAAACTGATTTAGATATAACGTTCCCTGATTGAATTGCCAACTAATTATAAAAAACAAATTATAGCTTTTTAAAACATTAAAGATTTCAGCCAGTAGAACTATTTATTGCATGATCTTTCCTTGGGAGTTTGCTTTAAGGCATGAAATGTGTCTCTGTCACAGCATGATTTACCGCTGTTTGTATAAAAAAATAATTGCAACTGAAAAAAAACTCAGCTGGGAAATTAATTCTCTTGCATGGCAAGGGTGAGAGAGGCATGTTTTCATAAGATGGCAAGGTAGTGTGGGGCAGACCTCCAGATCGTGAGGGTGTGGAGTGGCCTCGGGGCCTTCCTATTGGTTAAGGACGTGAAAGAGGAATAATGCAGTGAATACCGTTGCTCCAGATGTGCGCAAACTCTGAGATACTTCACTGTTGTCCTGCAGCTGTTTGACCTAAGTCATTGGTGGTCTGTGAGGTGATCCTCATCTCCGTCTTTGTTCCATGTTCTTCCACACCGTCACACCTTCTTCAACCTTCCTGGCTTTTTTTCTGGCAAACTTGAAATTTTTTATTTATTTCCATTTTGGCGAATCGCTGTGCAAACATGTCTTCGGCGTGCTGTTCCGGAGTTAACGATCTACGGATAACTTGCCCGTTTATCTCCTGAAAACACCCCACTTTGTAGTGATTTCGGCTGCCTCACAAAGCAAGTGGTTTCATTTTTTTTCTCTCTCTCTCCTGTGATCACTGGTAAACTTTGGAGTATGAGACACAATCCAGATTTTTCAAACTGAAATTTCCTCATGCTGTGATCTGCCCAAACCTCTTTAAGACAAGTCTGCTTATATTTCGTGGTTCTTCTATTTGCATACGGTTTGTGTGAAATCGGAGAACAGATCGTTCTGGATGCTGACTGTATGGACGGAGTTTGTAGACGCGTGTATCTGTAACTTCCTTAATTAAACTGCCTGTGTAATTAACACAATCGGATGGCTCACTTATTTCCACGTGTTTGGGGTTGCTGATGAAGGGAGGTTTTGAGCAAATCGGGCCTTGTCTGGTCTCGGGATCTCCCTACAGGACCTTCAGCTGGGCTCAACAAGGGCTGGTATGAGCCCTTGGGGGGTTTGGTTGGTTCATAAGGCGAGCCTCTGTTTTGAAAGCAACTTGGGGAGGGGGGGGGGAATCAGTGGCTTTCGTGCTTGATTATCTGTGTTTTTTAACCCAATGAGCCCCAATCTCGCCACCCCACTGCCTTGGAGCTGGGCTGCCTGAGGCCTTCTCTCCCCTTCTGTCTCTTTCAGACCATATATATTATTTTTTACAAATATGATGTAAAGTGTAAATTTTAAACTCTGCAGTGTAAGCATGTGTAGCTAACAACTGTAAAATGACTTATTTTAATGATCAGGCCTTTGCTTTGGTGTGTGTGTGTGTGTGTGTGTGTGTGTGTGTGCGCGTGTGTGTGTGTGTGTGGATTTGTGTCTGACACTTGTGAGTGATGTCATTGGAGGCACGCGGCCTTTAGGGTGAAGCGCTATGGTGAAGGGGTGCCGTGTTTTTATTGTCATGAATGAATGACTGGATGAATGACCAGCCCCACTGTTGGGATTCCTGGCTCTCGGAGTTTGGGCTCGGGG